ATCACATAATGGAGCTAAACAGCTAGAAACAAATGTCAAATCTAATACAGATTCCTTACCTGAATTTATATCAATTCTTGTTTTCTCACCATTGTTCAAGCAAACCAGATTATTCGTATCTAAAAATTCTTCTAAAATTTCCCCATTACAATCTACTTTTCCACTACCCCATAATGAATGATGTGCATTAAAATCTCCACACCAAATAACATTTCCTTTCATTTCTATCTCGTCAAGTTTACTTAACTCGAGCTTTTTACAAGGATTGTAAAAATTAAGAATCAACATTACCTTCTCTTCCACCCATATTTCAGTTGCAAGATATTCTAAATCTCCTTTCCTTCCAATAATTTTATACGGAATACCTTCCTTAATCAGAGTAAGACACCCTCCCCCATTACCTTCCTCTCTATCATATCTAACTGCAATATACCCATTTACTTTGAAATCCAACCAAGGCCTCAGCCATGTTTCCTGTATACAAATTATGTCAGGTTTCCCTTTTAATTCATAAATATACTGTTTAAAATCTTGCCCATTTGACAAAAGACTCCTTGCATTCCATTGTAAGATTGAGACTATCCTTCTTGACTTGCTTGGCTACACAGCTCTTCCCTTATGTCTTCCCACCTAATATTCTTTATTAGGGTTATTGTGAAGGCAGCTATGGCATGCTGCCTTCACAATAATCTGAATCCTTTCCGTTTTTGATTTTACGTCCGATGTTGCATTTATAACTCCTGCGATAAAAGTCACCATTTTCTTTTTTTCCTCTTCTATTTTCATTTCAACCATTTCCATAACTTTTGAGATTATTTGCTTTTCTCCTGTTAGAGATTTCCCATTTTGTTTCTCTTTCTCAACTACTTTACACGCTTCTGCATATGTTACTTTCTGTGCTACTTTTGTTTTCTGTACAATTGTTTGTTGTTTCATTACTTCGCACCCCCAAAAGGCTACACTGTGCTCCCCTCCGCAACTACAGCACTTTGGTTTGACTCCAA